AGAATACTAGGAAAAATGTGACAGTGTAGTTTCAGCAAGGCTATAGTGTTTGTGGTCAGGAGAACACCCCCTCTACTCCCCCTGCCCTGCAGTGATATCCACATCCTAGTCCCTGGAACCTATGTGTGTATTAGGTTACATGGCAGAAGAGAATTAAGATTGCAGATAGAGTAAGGTTGCTAGTCAGCTGACCTTAAGATAGGGAGATTATCCTGGATTATCCAGTCGGCCCAATATAATCACAGTGGAGTAGGGAGGCAGAAAAGCCATGGTCAGAGGAGGACACGTGACCATGGAAGCACAGTTAGAGTAGTGTACGCTGCGTCACTGTGAGAACTCGCCCTGCCGGTGCTGGCATTGAAGAGGAAGGAAGGGGGCCATGAGCCAAGGGATGCAGGCAGCCTCTAGGAGCTGGAAAAGCCAAAGAAACAGTCTCCCCTAGAACCTTCAGAAAGCCCTTCTGACACCTTGATTTTAGCCCATCGAGACCCGTTTTAGACTTCTGACCTCCAGAATGATAATTAATTTGTGTTGTTTTAAGCAATTACGTTTGTGATAATTGTTACAGCACCAAAGGAAACTAATATAGCATTTGACTATGAACAACTAAATATCTGAAACTGATGAACTTTCATCAAATTTCATCTCTATTTCCAAGAGAGGTGCGATTACCAGTGGAATGATGAAGCAGAAGAAAGCAACAGCAAGGGGCCTGGCTGGCTGGCTGGCTGGCTCGCTCCCATCACAGCGGTCTCTGTTCACTTCCTATCTTATTTTTACCCTCTGCCCTGCCTTAGACCGGGAGGGGTCTTCCCCCCATGACCTCAGTCCTTATGCCGCCTCCACTTCTGTCTTCCTTCCCTTTGGCCTACTGTGACTCCTTCTTCCTCATTTCCCCAGTTGTCTTCTCTCCAGTTCTCCTCCTCCACTCTGATAGGACCTGGCCATGGCCCGAGCCAGTAAGAGCAAAACGGACACTCCTGCCACTTCCCTCCCTTCCCCCCTACACCTGCACAGTTCCTGGGGAAGACTCTTGAATGAAGGCTAGCAAAGAACAACAGTAGACAGGAAAAGAGGCGCCTGAAAACAGTAAGGATCAAAACAGTCATCAAAGGGTGACAGAAAGGAGATGCTACCTCATCTCTTTGACTTAGCTGTCACCATTTTCCTTAGCAAGGTTATTCCAGTGTATTATACACAAGGGCCGGGTGTGAATATTACTCCTGTGCTCTTGGTAGTTTGGTGAAAGCTCCTCCATTTCTCTGAATAGCTAACTGTACACTTAGAGCTCTTGGCAGAGTTGAGGATGCAGAGTTAAGTACTCTGAGGGTACCTAGCTCCATCACCATCTGTGATCTGTACAAAACTTGGTATATGCTTTAAGCTAGTCAGACATTCATCGCGCGTCCACTGTGTATTTGGCAGTGCACCAGGTACAGGTGGTAGTGGCGGGCAGCAAGCAAGGGCAGGGCCTGTGGAGCCCGCTTTCTGGTGGAGAATGATTTCTCTGTGATATGATGAGCAGTCGCTGTTCCCTTGGTACAGCATGTGAGCAGCTTGCTGTAGGTATTGTCCTAAAGACATGAGCTCGTCTAACGTAGACAGGAACAACAAACTCAAAATTCCTCCCCTACAGGTTAGTCAGTGACTCTGTGTGCCTCCCAAGAGCACAGCCAGTTCCTCCTTTGGAGCCAGGGAGGTGCTACTGGGGCAGGAGGAAAGAATGCTCCCTCCGCTGCCTGTGATGTCGTCTCCCAGGTGTGCCGGATAATGCCTTGGTATCATTTCAGCCACCTGTTGTCCTTTTACACGTTTTATCAGATGACCTTATATATTGGGCAGAACTGAATCTTTAAAAGGGGTGATATGACACCTTTAACACCCCGTCCTGCTCTAGGCATACTCCCTGTCAGGGCTTCATCTTCATTCGTTAGGGATGGAGGAGGAGATTTAAAATGTCTAATTCTAATCACTGTATTGCTTCAGCCCTCTAACTGGTCTCCTTGGCTTCTGTCTTTCCTTCCTTCAATCTTGCCCATGAACTTTTGTTAGAGGGATTTTAAAAACAATTTTTTTAAGTTTTTAATTTTTTAATTGAGATAACATTGATTCATAGCATTGTATAAATTTCAGGTGTACGTGATTATATTTCACCTTCTGTATAGGCTGCATCGTGCTCATCACCAAAAGTCTAGTTCCCATCCATCACCATACACATGTGCCCCTTTACCCCTTTTGCTCTTCCCCCAGCCCCCTTCCCTCCTGGTAGCCACCAGTCTGTTCTCTGTACCTATGTGTTTGTTTATCTTCCACATATGAGTGAAATCATACAGTGTTTGTCTTTCTCTTCCTGACTTACTTGCTTAACATAATACCCTCAAGGTCCATCCGCGTTGTTGCAAATGGCACTATTTCATCTTGTTTATGGCTGAGTAGTATTCTGTTGTGTATATACTACATCTTCTTTATTCATTCATCCGTTGATGGACAGTTAGGTTGCTTCCAAGACTTGGCTGTTGTGAATAATGTTGTGATGAACATAGGGGTGCATGTATTTTTTCAACTTGGCATTTTCGTGTTCTTTGGGTAAATATCCAGAAGCGGAATAGCTGGATCAAATAGTAGCTCTATTTTTAATTTTTGGGGGGAATCTCCATATTGTTTCCCCTAGTGGCTGCACCAATTTACATTCCCACTACCAGCACACAAGGGTTCTAGAGGCCTCATTTTAAACCAACACTGACAGCCACCTCTCCCTCTCCCTCCTGCCTCCTTATCTTGTTTAGATGCTCTCATAACGCCCTGCACTTTCCCCTTTGTTAGCAGTCATCACACCAGATGGTACTTGCCTCTTCACTTGCCTGCATCTCCCGTGGTGGCCGGCCCATGCGTGTCTTGCGTGTGTTTGTATGTATACCTCTTAGCCCTGATCCTGGGAGGCAAACAGTACATGTGAGTGTGTGGGGTGAGTGAAAGCCCCTTTGCTACCTAACAACTTGCAGTGATTCCCTTTGTTTAACAGATCGGACTCAGGCTCTTCATTTCAGTTTTCAACCACTCTGATTTTCCTTGTACACAGGCCTTTAGATCTCCTCTTGCATCTTCATGCTGTGGATGGTTTCCTCTGCCGGCCCTTCTGTGGTAGCTCATCTCCAAAGATAGCTGCCCTCAGTTTCTTCTCTTCTGTGTACACATGCCACTCCCTGACTGAGAGATGGAGTCTGTTCTTCTGCCCTCTTGAATGTGGGCTGGCCTGTCACTAATTTCACCAATAGAATATGACGCAAGTGACACTGTGCCGATTCTAGGCCTGCTCTTTAAGAGGACTGGCAGTTTCCACTTCCTATCCCTTGAAAGCCTCAACTGCCATTAATAAGTCCAGGCAACTCTTTTGGAGTGAGAGGCCACGTGGAGGAGGCTGAGGTACCAGACCTGTGAGTGGAGAAGCCATCTTAGACAAACAGCCCAGTTGGGCCTTGAGGTGACTCCAGTCCCAGCTACTGGCTGTAACTACAGGAGAGATCCCAAGCGGGACCACCCAGCTGAGGACAGTCAGCCTACAGAACCATGAGATGACAACAGTAGTTTTAAGCCACTATGTTTTGGGGTGGTTTGTTGTACAGCAATATATATCCTAAATACTATCCTTCATGGTCCTAAACTTAGATTTTCTGTAAAGCTTTGCCTTGACATTGATCTCTCCCTTCACTAATTCCCATAGAACTTGTTGATACCACATGTTTGGTTATCCAACTCTACATATTACTATTTTCCATTTCCTATATGCTAATCTGGACTCCATGACCAAACCCTGTGATCTTTGAAGATACCAAACAGTGGAAATATGTCTTTCGTAATCCCTTCAACAAGTCTTAGTACTGGACAGAAATGTGATAGTTAATAAACTGTTGAATTGAATTAAAAGCATTCTTGGTCATTTTAGCTCTCTGCCAGCTGTATTAGCTTTGACTCTTCTTTATGGTGTCTTTCGGAGCATTGTTTCAAGATACTTAAAAGTAAGTGTGGCAACAGGCGGCCCTGAGGATCCTTCCACCTGAAGACCGTGGGTTATAGAGCAGTGGTTCTCAAAGTGTGGTCTGGGGCCAGCATCACCTGGGAACCTGTGAGATGCAAATTCTCGGGCCCACCCCAGACCTGTTAAATTAGAAGTTCTGAGGGTGGGACCAGCATTCTGTGTTTTAATAAGCCTTTCAGATAATTCTGATGCATGCTAAAGTACAAGCATCACTCTTGTGGCGAAGAGTCCTGATCTAAGGTCAGAAGGCCTAGGATCCTTTCATTAAACAACACTTACCCAACATGCGTCCACTTGTGCCAGGTTTGTGCTAGCAACAGGGTACTGAGACTGCTACAGGTCATCCTCACCCTTGAGGATGAGGGCGGCTGGTGGTGCGGAATGTCACATATATACAAACGAGACATACCCTACATCCTCGCCACGGAACCAGCCCACTGAATGAGACAGTGCTGTTTCTGACCCTCACCTCTCCACGTACGGATCAGATGCCAACGTCATGAACTTAACCAACAGTAGGAACCCTTTTATCGGAATGTGTTTTGTCTTAAAGATCACTCAGTTAGTAGCCAAGTATTCATGCTCCCCATAGAATAGAAAACCCAGAGAGTAAAAAGAAGGAAATTAAAGTCATTCACAATCCTACCACCCATAGTGAACAGATTGTTCTGATGTGTTTTCTTCTAGACTTTTTCAGTGCCTGTCTTTTTTTCCTATTTCTGTATCTGTCTTGTGCTCTTAGTAGGATATTGCAAACTCTAGTCCCTCGTTTCCTGGTGCTTCAGTGAGTTTGGTGAGGCCATCACGGTGTCTGCCCTGGGACTGAGCTGGCTGTGCGCAGCTGCAGGCCGCTCAGCCGGAGCAGAGGGGTGGCTGCTCCCCTTTGCACTCTGCTGGGCCGTCTTCCCCTTTGTTTTCTCGTTTCTGTCAGCCCCATAGATTCCTTCCTGCCTCTCCTCCTCACCTGTCCTCCTCTGCCTCCGCTCATTTAAGCTTTGTTTTCCACCCAGGGCAGCATGACCTTCCACCCCTTCTCCCCGGACCAGCTCCTCTTCAGCCTTCACAACCAATGCTGGAACCCACGGATGTGGCGATCACTCCCTGATCCAGGCAGACTCTGAAACACGTTCTCCTGATTTTCCACAGCTCTCTTCATCCCTCCGTTATTGTGCTGTCTCGTGTGAGCGTTACCCTTTAGGTGTCTGCTGCCCTAGACGAGGCTTCTTATTCATTTCCCCATCCCCTAAGATATACGAAAGGGCTTCTGTAATGTTTGCAAAATGAATAAATAAAACCCTGAGGTCTGTCAGAATCACCCAGAACTGCTCTTCACAAGCACAGGACCCACTGGCAAGCCCCCAGGCTATGCAGGCGCTGACCTTGATCCTCAGGCACTGTGGTTCCTTCAAGGAAGCCTCTGGGAAGGCTGGAATCCAGGTCACACAGAGGTAATCCAGCTAGAAAAGGAAGGAGGCGCTTTCACATGAGATAGGAAGGGGCAGTAGATGAGAAATCGGCCTTGGAAACACCGCTGTGTGGCTAGACTACGGGGCTACGAGGATGGGCGCTGTCTAAAACGAGACGTGTGCCCCCGCATCTCATGGAGACAACGAGCGCTGCTGCTGGGGAGACCCAGCCTGGGAGGTTGATGAGGGAAGACAAAGGAGGCGGTTTCCTTTTTTCTGTAACTGAGGGCAGCAATCGCTTTGCAGTCATAATTCTGACACTTAACAGTGAGCGCTTCTGAGAGGGGAGGAGGAGATTGGGAGGCGAAGGAAGGAAGGAAGAGGAGCATCCCCTGGGGCTTTGCAGTGAGCAGATGACCGCAAAGGAGCGAGCCACCTTCTGTGGTGATGACAGAGGAGTCTCCTGCGGTGCTGAGAGCAGCCCAGCAGGACAGGGGCCGGGTGACCCGACCATGGGCGGCCTAGGGACCTAATGCTGCTGCTCAGCTGCCTGATCGTCGGCCCTTCGAGGGGACACAGCAGACTTCAGAGGGAAAGCTGGGGAGAGCAACTTTGTATCTGTCTGTCACGAGTCCTATCAGTGGAGCAGGGTTATTTTGAACTAACAATAATTAGGCCAGGATTTCAGAGCTTGGTTCTGTTCTGTGATTTTGGCTTGCCCTGTAGTCATGATGCTACATGTGCTTCAAGAAACACACACAGTTTTCCATTAAGTTCTTTGGAAAGTTTGAGGAGACCCCCTGGCTGCTGCTCATCATTAGGGAGTGGGCTTTCTGGCACCTTCTAAACACTCAGTTCCACAAGACGTGGGCCGCAGCTGGAACCTGCATATCCAGGATCCTCCTCAGGCGCTAATCAGGGTGCTCTTTGCCTTTGCCTCCTTTCCTTTGTAATCTCTCGTCCACCATGGCCACCCCGACCTTTGCCCTCTCTCCCTGACCAGCTCCTCCGTATCCTTCGTGACCAGCACCGTGGTCAGCACGGGTGGACAACCTTCCCTGACCCGGACGGACTCCTCAGTTCTGGTTTCTACAGCACTCCTTCGTGCCTGTTACTGCACTTACTTCCCATGAGTGTTACACACCTGGGGAGCTGGACACGGGACCTGTGTGTCAGGTGCACATGCCGTGCTTGTGGCCCAAACAGGTCCCCGCTCCTGACCTCCAGGTCTTTGCTGTTGTTCTGGGAGGACACCCTCGCCTCCTGCTCCATTGTGCTCCTGGAACAGGACTAAACTGGCCCCCTTTGTGGCTCCTCAGACAGCATTTGATGATGAGTCAGCGAGGACAGGCCGCCCTCAGCACCCCCAGGGCTGTTGGGCCCGGCAGGACTGCACTGCCCACCTTCTCATGGCGACCTGCCTCAGAGCTTCCCGTAACCTGGCGGTGAACGAAATGCACAGCCTTCCAACTCAGTGACATTTAAGGCAGCCAGTCATCGGTTCAGGCAGCAAAATAAATTGGTACTCAGCTGCTCTCAGTCTCTTTTTCTGGTTAAAGCTATAAATAACAGAAATGATTGTGCCACTGCGTGGGTGACACCAGCCTGCCCCTCCCTGTGCAGTCACGTTCTCTCACTCGCTCTCGGGCTTTGTTTGGTCCCCTTGAGGAACAGTGTGTTAAGGATTGTATTCGGAGGTCACCTGGTGCTGTGTGTCCACATTTGAGTCCTGCACACACAAATAAATATAATAAATGAATGTGTGTACATTGGAATAGCATATCCACCCTACTGAATTTATTATTCATTCATATGAAAATATTTTCCATTAAATATTACAACTCCCTCAATATTCTTATTTAGTCCCTTTTATTCATGGGACTAAGTTGCATCACTCAATGGCATCATTTAAATGAGTTACTACAGTAACACAGAGTAATGACCTCATGAAGTGTGGTGTGTTGGTGTGCTTATCCGATAATTTATATATCCTGTAAATACTAGTTGTAATGTCTGAAGAGAACTCAAAAGGCAAGAAGTATTTTTTTCCCCACACAAATGATCGTGAAATAGAACATCTTTAGAAGTATGTTCTGATACTTATTTGCCCAGAGTCCCCCAAATTCCTTCCCTTCTAAGCCATAAGTGTTGGGTGCCCCCCACCCCCCCCATACTCAAATATTAAAAAGAAAAAGAAAAAACCATCCCTCCCTCCCTCCCTCCCACCCCCGGGGCACTGATGTCTGTACAAACAGAGGAATAAAGAAGGAATCGGTCAAATGATCTTCACCCTCTTTCAAACTGAATCTGCTTTAATCAGTAATGCTAGCACATTCTGTCAAGCGCCCCGACCTCTTTTACATTATTTCTTCAGTTTCGGACAAAGCTAAACCTTTGCCAGCCCCGACCCGGCTCTGCAGAGGCTGGTGCCCAGCTGACGTCCCGCCTCAGTCAAAGAGGGTGCTGCCTGCTCTGCTCGAGATGAATCAGGCCGATCCGAAATGCACGAGCCTGCGGGGCGGTCCTTCCTCTGCGGGCAGAGAAGTCACCTTAAAGCTGTTACACCAGGACCATAAATTAGGGGGCCTCACGGCCCGTCCCTCCCGAGGACACAGCCAGCTGCGATCACTGGGGGATGCAGGTTCCTGCGTCCGGGGAGGGGAGGGGGACAGAGTCGACGGGCTGACCCGGCGCGCGGAGGCCTGGTCTCCGGGTCCTCGGTCCCCGGGGGCGGGACTATGGACAGCCGAGGTCAGGAGCCTTTCGCGCAGGTGGGAAAGGCGGCGGCGCTGCGGCGCGGGCTTCGGGGAGGGGGGCGCAGCCCTCGGCGCTTCCCGGCTCTGCGGCCAATGTCACCGTGCGGGCTGGTTCCCGCCGCCTGCCCGGCCACGCGCTTCGTCGCCGTCGATCACGAGAACACCAGGAGTGGTGTGCCCTAACCTCCCTCGGAAACCCTAGCTCGGGACCGCCCTCCCCTGCGGGGCGGCTCCCTCGGCGGGAAGCGCGCGGCAGGAACGCCGCCGGGGAGGCAGGCTCCCCGCTGCCCCGCCCCGCGCATGCAGGCCGGCCCGGAGCCGCGCCCTGCAGACCCTCGGCGGCCCTGGCGGCCCGGCGGCTCCCTGCCCTGCACGCTCACGCCCCCGAGCACAGCGGGACCTGTGTGCTCCAAGGCGACCAAGCCGGAGAGGTCACTAAAATGAGGCTGGGCAGGCTCCTCGCCGAGACCTGTGCAGACCCTTATAACACTCGAGGTAATTTTTGTTTTTTCCCTAAAAGGGACAAAGGAAACGGGGAGTTTTGCAAGGGGGGAGGAGAGCAGTTTCTACGGTTCTTCCCTTTGCTACCTGAAATCTGATTAGTTTCCTGTGTCCTACCTGTTCCCTTTCCTAGTGTCCTCCACCTCTGGAGGAGCGGGTCATATATTCCTTTCTTCTCCATGCGGCCCCTCTTGGTTTAACATGTTCGCCTTGCCTTCCTCTATCGCCTTTCCGCCTGATGACATCGCTCTTCCCCTTCCCTCCCTTTCTTCCCAGAAAAAAGTGGACTTCTGCCCTCCTGACCCTCATTTCTATCGCTTCCCTCAGAAATGCCCCTTTTTCCCTCTCCTGGTAGCTCGGGGGCACAGCCAGTCTCTGGGCTAGGGCAGCACTGGGAAGAGGACATCAGAGCAATAAGGCTTGACCCTCCATGCTCCCCAGGACTGCAGTCCCGTGAGGGGCACTGTTATGGGCTGATGGCGTACTCTAAAATTCATTTGTTGAAGAGGTAACCCGCAGCACCTCAAAATGTGACTATATTGGGAGAGAGGGACTCCAAAGAGGTAGTAAAGGTAAAATGAGGTCATATGAGTGGGGCCTAATCCAGTACGACTGGTATCCTTTTAAGAGGAAATTTGGGGGCTGGCCCTGGGGCCGAGTGGTTAAGTTGGCGGGCTCTGCTTCACGGCTCAGGGTTTCACCGGTTGGGATCCTGGGCGGGGACATGGCACCACTCACAAGGCCATGTTGAGGCGGCATCCCACAAGCCACAACTAGAAGGACCCGAAACTAAAATGTACAACTATATACTGGGGGGATTTGGGGAGAAAAAGCAGAAAAAAAATTTTTTTTAAAAGAGGAAACTTGGACACACACAGGCACCAGGGTTGCATGCACACAGGTTAAGAGATGAGGTGAGGACACAGCAAGAAGGCCAAGCCACGTGGAGGGGAGGCCTCAGGAGAAACGAAACCTGTGACACCTCGATCTTGGAGTTCTGGTCTCCAGAACTGTGGGAAAATAAATGTCTGTTGTTTGAGCCGCCCAGCCTGTGGTATTTTGCTGTGGCAGCCCCCACAAACTAAGAGGCCCTAAGGAAGCCCCTGGAACATCCCTGGGGCCCTCCTCAGGTAGAAGAACCTGCCAACCAGGGCAGTTTCTCTGCTGATAGCTTTTCTATCCCTTCCTGTTTTTCAGTTTTGTCCTGTGTAGGATTTCCAGACAAAATATAGGACACTCATTTAAATATAAATTTCAGATAACTATTATACAGTTCATACTTATATTTTAAAAAGTTATTTTTCTGAAATTCAGATTTAACTAGGTGTCTGGTAGTTTTTATTTGCCAAATCTGCCAACACTAGATCAGGGGTGTGTGTCCTTAATATCTTTACACAGTGGCCCTCACATTAGAATCACTTGGAGAACATTTTTAAAATACTGATGGCTGGATCCCTCCCTGAGGGGTTGATTTAATTGATCTTAGGGCCTGGTCCCACAGGATTTTTTTTAAAGCTCCCAGGTGACTTTCAATGTGCAGCCAGGCTGTAGAGCCACTGCAGGAAGAGACGGGTGTTAACTAATTAAATGCTCACGGCTATTACATTGTTGAATTTGGGCTCCTTTAAGCTTAAATTCTTCAGGTTTTTTTCTGCTAAAAAAAAATGTCATCTTATCACTCTTCTTATTGCTGAGCCCAGAGGCAAAGGTCAAGTACATCATCAAAACATGCCCTGTTAGTATGTGAAATGGTTTTCTGATTTCAGGTCAACTGAGCCCATACAGAGAGATGTCAAGAGCTGTAATATTGATACCACTGCAGCAAATGCCTCTCCATCCCAACACTTCAGGTCTTGTAATAAATAGTGCAGCTGGGCACCCTGGTAAAAGATTTACCTTTTACCACCACTTTTTATTACAGGTCAGTGCTCAAGAATGTAGGCTCTGTTTTAAGCACACTTCTAGTTCAAGAGGAATTTGAACATAATTTTGTTCACTTCTTCCAGACCCTGGTATCTGTCTTTCCTCAACTATTAACTGGCATGAATGGAGAGCTCAAGCTTACCTGCTGCTCACTTTACTGAAAAATTCATAGAGAGTTCGCATATTGTGGCAAATACCCCCGGGGGGAGCACACCATTCATCCTGCTTGGGTAAGCGTCTTATACAGTTATGTGCCACAGAACGACATGTCAGTCAATGACAGACCGCATAGACAATGGTGGTCCCATGAGATTAGTACCATGGAGCCTAGGTGTATAGTAGGCGATACCATCTAGGTTTGTGTAAATACACTCTATGATGTTTGCACAATGACAGAATTGCCTAATGACACATTTTTCAGAATGTCTCCCCATCATTAAGTGACATATGACTGTATCTGAGTCTGGTACTCAGTTTCCTCCTGAAGATAATCCTTGCCAACATAAACCTTCATAGTAAGTGCTAAGGAGATGCTGGCATCGAGCTCCAGGAGAGTAAGAGTCAAAACCAGAGTGAGAGGGAAATAAAATGCCTGTGACAGAAACACATTTTCTAGAAACTGGTGTTGAGAGTCAGCAGATGATAGTGCTCAGTGCCAGCTTCAGGGACGGAGATTTGATGTGAAAGGGCTTTGTTAAAACTGCCATCCAAATAAGTGATACACCATGGAGGTTTTGTGACTACTGCTTATTATCTAACGTGAAGGTCCAGAAAACTGTTGCAGTGGGAGGCAGTTGAATGTAGAATATATGCTTTGGATTTGAGCTTTGGTGCTGCTTGACTTGGTGTCCTTGGGCAACTACTTAACCTTTATTTCCTCTTTGGAGAAAGGCTCCTAGAATGGTAGAATAAGGACCTCTGAAAACCCACTCCTTATACGAGTGGAGAGAACACTGGCAAAATTATCAAAATCCATGTTTTCAGAACCCTGGAAATTAACCAAAGGATTGCAACAATCCCAGGAGTGTTTATTCAAGAAAAACAGCTGAATCTCAGTGAGAACAGGGAGGTTTCTGACAATCTGACCAATTT